CAGCCGTCGTGAGTGCCAGAACTCCCTGCCTCAACTTCCGCATACAATTGACGTGCTTAAACAGCAGTTTGTGATTGGTGCTAAAGGTTTTGCATGTTCTGCCGATGCGCGGCTTTGTCCCATCTGAGCAGTTGAGTGCAGTTGTTTTGTTGATATACCTAGTTGGCCCAGCTTTCTGGTCTTGGGGATACTCTATACTCGCGCCACGTTGCTTTGCGTACTGTCAGCAATTTTCGAGTTCTGCTCCTTACGTAAGTAACTGTTTCAGACCGTTTGCAAACTTTTGTCTCTGAAGCATCCGTAACCAGCCGATTGAATTTGTTTACGAACTCCAGCCAGGCGACATTCGGGGGTTCTTCGGCGAGGAACGACCAGGTTGTGGCACAGACGGGTGGGCTAGTCAGTTGTAGCATGTGATGGTTTGCGCCGTCTCAGGTAGCGGCGAACTCTGCTACTCCGCGAAGTCTGGACTGCGCGCGGCGGATCAGAGAATGGCCGGCATGCAGACTTAAAATTGTGCTTCCATGGATTTCCGCTTAATGGCAAAGCATATGAGCGATTTTATGCCCTAAGTGACCATTATACTTCCAGATAAACCACATAAACCAGAAGATGCGGGACATTAAGTGATTATTCAGGGTGAACCTCCATAGTTAATAAAGGCCACGTAAGTAATGTGGCACCCTGCTGTCTTACGGGAACGAAATGAAGGACAACTGGCACGTAAATAAATCTCTTAAGCAACGTTGCGTAAACGTGTGTCTTGATGTTCTATCCCAACCTAGAATAATGTGCAAGAAAAACACTGGAATGCAGAGAGCCTTTCCTGTAGATGTGCAAGCGTATAACCGTTTTAAAGTTTTAAATTTTGAATGTCGTCCTTGCGCATTGAACATCGAAATCTTTTAAGTATAATTCCAATGTTAGTATATTTACCTCCGGAGCGAATACAAGTGGCGGAGCACCCAGGATTCGAACCCCAGCCGCACGGTTGTCAATCTGGCACCCTACCACTAGACTGCCGCTTCTGCGTTAACTGAAAAACCGTCCGTCAAACTAATGTCAAAGCAAAGGTTACAAAATGCAAAGTTCCACCAAAGCTTTTTAAAGCTTTTATAGGTCGACAAGGCTGCATAACACGAGTTCAGCAAATATTTCGCCATTTTTGCATAATTTGGTCGCTACAGGCGGTAGAAGAATTGTCTACCACCCGCCGCTTCATAGTCCGCATCTCGGTATCCTGCATAGGAGGTAAAGTTGAAACTAACTGTACGATCTAACGGGTAGTCTACAATCAACGCATCAATCATACGTTTTTCGTTGGTTAGCACAAGGTCAAGCACAAATGGCCTATTACCTGTTCCGAACCAATTGGGCGAAGTGACATGATTGTAAAGCGGAACGACGGTTACAAGCTCCTGTAGACAGGCTTTAAATTGTTCTCCGCTCGTGGCAGGGATTTCTTAACAAATGCACATTGAAAGCACCCATGGTCAAGATGTGAGTGTTTCTTCCATTTAGAGTTCGCCGTAGGGTAATAGCAATTTGGTAGTCCCTTTCAGATGTAGAGTTAGGGGGACGGTACATCAAGGCTATAAGGAGTGTCTCTGCTTCTTAACTGCAGGCGGCACCAAAGCAAATCAGCGAATCAGCGAAGCTGTATCCTCCATGACCACGCACGGTAAGTGGCTTCGGTAATACAGGATTACGCTTCCTCCTTTTGTCAGTCTGTCGTTCCGAATGAGTTACATGCCAGGTAGCGAAATTTCAGCTTCCGTCATTTCTGGGTGTAACCACCATTCGGTGGTGCTAATAGTATCATATTTCTAAGAAACTTGGCGATCTTTCATTTCGGCCAGCTTATTGAAGAGGCTCTGAGCATTTGTGAACAAGCAGGCTAGTTTATCGGCCTCTAGTAGACCACAGGGGTCAAGGAAAGTGTGTGGGAGTGCCGACCGATGTGAGGTTGGCCGTTAATCGTCTTATTGATGAAATACTGATTCTACTTCCGTACCTTGCTCTGGCCAAGGCGCGTCCCAGCCCTCATCCAGATCTACATCAATATCGAGTACAGGATCAATCATGGCCCGTACGTCTGTATTTTCGGATGATTTCGTAAATGGACGTTGCGAATCATATGCAGTCCATAACCGAAGTTCCGGGAGAAAGCTATTTCGATTTTTGCGCCAACTATATAACACATCCGTCGCTGCTTGCTCGGATTGAACCAAGAGCTTTAGGATTCTTGGGTCGCATCCTCTAGAATCTGGTGAGAAAGGTAAAGTTTTGAGCGCTCGCGCCACAACATTACGCAAGAAAAGATTTTCGCGGATGAATCGCCATTGTTGTAAATCGTGATTTCCGGTCTTTTGTCTATCGTGTGAAGGGAGCTCTGGCACACCATGGATGAAGATAGTGTTTGCGCGATTAGGCTTGCTGTGCCCTTCCTGTAAATAAATAAATAGTTTTATTCTCGATGAAACGAGACACACCAGTACAGGCGTGATCAAGTGGTTGTCAGAGCCACAGAAACAAACTGAGCGTATATACACCATACGACATAGGTAAGTGTTCGCAAAATACACGGTTGGATAAATGGTACGTAGTTGTCATATAGGAAAGTCGCAAGGATGATGGGCATGCTCATTGGAGTCAGGTAGATGTGTGGCGCGGAAGCAAGGTAAAATCTATGTGTTTCCGTTACAGAAATGCTGGGTGGGATTTCGAATAGTTCAGGAGCTTGATCTCCATTATTCCGTGTGCGTATGAACCCGATAGAATGTTTGATAAACACTGTTTGACGAATACGTGAGGTTTGGTTCATATGCCGTTGTGTTCACAGATTTCAGTTATCAGGATCTTGTCAGCGTTTAGCAGTGAGCAGTGATTTTATTTTGGTGCCGAGTCACATCCGCCATGTCGCAGTGTTGTTAATCGGACATATGTGGCTTTTTATAGGGAAAACGCTTGCCAGACGAAAATCCACCACGTACTGAAACACTGCCGTTGACCACAAGTTGAACAGCAATGCGCCATTGTCGCAAGTTTCATGGAACGTCAAGGTAGAAAAGTATCACACACTTCCATATTGCAGCGCGTTTGCGGAGAACAGAACGTTTTCCACATCAGTTGAGGATTCTAGTGTTCCTCTAATAAGTCTGGATTCGCCGGTGTGCTGAGTTTGGGTGACGAGTAATTCATACTAAGTTTGTGGGTTTGGTTTTACTTACATCAGAAATCACAGTAACTACCATTGGTTTAGGTCGTCTGACAAGGTACCTTGCACTGCAATAGCTGCTGAATAGGGTGCGTTCGAGCACACAACAGGCATGGCAATATTGTTAGACCCTTATTCGTTGGGGGCTCGCTTGTCCTGACTTGTAACCAAGTGATGGTTACTTATTGTTTGTCTCTCTTTTCAAGGCAGAGGTGTTTATAACAGAAGAGACTGAAAGTTTCCCTATCGGGTGAAGTTTGCAGCAATCGTGGCCTATGTGCCTGAGGTTCAAGGGGATTTCGGCTCGATTATAGACCCTTGAGCTGCAGATGCTGAGGGTTGAGATTCGGCTGCTTTGTCCTTATTACATAAAAGTGTCATGAAGGCTGGTGGGACTTGATTACTCCCAAGTTTCAGGCGGTGTCTGAGTTTAGTTGCCACTGGCAATGCTTGCTTCTCGGAGTTATGGTCAATTTTCGCCTATTTTTCTACCAAAGATGAGGAAGAAAACGGCGATACGGACCTGGCTGGTCGTGGTTCATGAGCAACAAGTTGTGTATCATTTCATCGGTTAAATGTCCCTAGGTTTAACTGGTTCGGACTTTCTTCCAGCGAGATGATCTTAGTGCTCATTCACTGCTCGGCTTCTGTTACCAACCGGTCGCATTTCTTGACTAGGACAAGCATACCTTTGCCAAATGGGACGATCGAGCAAATAGTGCAGAACCAACGAACATCTCCCACCTGCTGTTGAAATAAGCTAGCACACTTCTGATAGTACCACTTGGAACAATGCAAGCAAGCTAAGCCTAGTTTGAGTAATCGTTTAATTACTCCTGACCAGCAGACACCCTTAGCTTGGAGCACTTCTGGATGTGCACCTACTTGATATTTGCCATTCAGCCTGGTGTCGTTGATGACTGATGGCTTTTCCAACTTCCGTGATGGTATTCATGGATTAGGCGAAGGCTGAAGTTGTGAAAGTCAAGTGAGCTGTCGATGAAGTTGAGTCGCCTGCGCGCCGGTCCCTAGGGTATGAGGCTGCATTAGTTGACATGGCCACAAACAAATCCAAGGCGGCGGACTCAGAGAACAGTTGGACTACTCACTGAGGTCTCCGAAAATAACTAGAGAATATCCACCAAATTAGAACGGATTGAAAAATACACCAAAGGGAGAATATTGGTGCACAATTCACACAGAAAACACGTATAATACAGAAAGCCGGAGGCAAACGTAGAGTCCAGAACATGGCACTTCAGAACACCGCGGAGTCCGTGGTACCCTGTGATGGACATCAGGTGAATAACATAATTAGTCACCCAAAACAGAATTGCTGTGGCATAAATCGTAAACCTGATCCTAAAGCATCATGTTCCAATAAGCAAAGTCTACCTTAGACCGCGTCAAAAGACGTAGGTTGGAAGTCTTTCAAGACTCGACTAGAAAATTTGATGCACTTAGAGTTAGCAGCAAAGCAGTCTGCGGTGAGCTATACGTCGGCGTAATTTACATGATAATGGTTTGTACACGCTTTACCCCAAACAGTCAAGGGAATGAGGATAAACAAAAGTAACGTAATAGTATTTTAACGTAGTTAGTTGTGTTCAAGTAAAATAGTAGTGTATTATTATGGTTGTAAATCAGGGATACAAAAAATAGGTTTGTGAAGTGGTGAGTCATATAGCTACTGAGTCGATAATCAGTTGATTTTGGTGGTTACAGCCGATGCTCCATTTTGAGGATACGGCTATTTGGTAGCTCAAAAATGTGGACCACTTACATCAGACCACCCGTTGGTTTCAGGATCGTAGACCTCCACACGGTCTGTGTATGTTTGCCCGTCATGACCTCCTAGGGCGAAGAGCTTTGCACCCAGAGCAGTGACCGCAATGGAATCTCGAGGCGACGACAAGCAGGCCACTTCTGTCCACATGTCAGTTTGTGGTTCGTACATTTCCACGCTGGCCGTGCGCAACGCATGCGGTTGACTTGGAGGCGCGTTGTGTCCACCGACTGCGTACAGCCTTCCACCGATGGCGCCAACACCTACGCCGCCACGACGATGCAGCATAGGGGCAATGAAGCACCAATGCTGTGTGTGCGGATTGAAGCGTTCCACGGTCCGCAGACAAGCACTACCATCACGACCACCGACTGCATAGAGTCTGTAAGAAAGGGGTACACGGGGACGGACCTCTACATTGAAGGTTATAACCGAGTGAAGTAAGGATAGAATAAGCAAGGAAAGAAGTAATGAATAAGAATTTGGGTAAACTTATTCTAAGCTAAACATGGACAAAGCAATAGTGGTCATTACCATTCTTTTATACTTGACAATAACAGGAAAGTTTGGAACACAAATGAAGATGTCTGGATGCACGCAAACTCTAACTATTCCTGATCGATTGCACCCATAGTGCAAGTGAATTGCCCCTAAGGCTCTAATTTGCATCCGCAAGCCAATAGAACATCGTGTTTAACGCATTTGAATTGCATCCAGTATCATTCCGACGCACCAAGCGCGCAGCGACCTTGGAACCGAGCTAGTCTAAAGCAGTCAATGACGGTAGATGTAATAACCGTTGCATGAATGTATGAGTTGGTGGTGTTTGATGGAGACGTGTGAACGTTCTAGCCTCCAGCTAGCAACGGTGCCTACTCTGGAGCTAGTGCCACTCAGCTTAGGGATACAAGGTTGTCCAAACACGTGGTGCGACTGGGTGGAGGGTTCGGTGTGCATAAGTGGACTACCATGTACGTAAAGCATGCCTTGCATAGGGCACAAATTGGGGGGTGTGGGCTGGGAGCAAGGTAATGCCACACCCTAGTAGAGATCTTATGGCTAGTTTGGCACTGGCATAGTCTAAGGTTTTGGACGACATGCCATCGCTCGATTATAGGACGTTACTGTGACCGAATAACGAGGAAGTTACTGGGGCATGGCTGAGAATGACGGGTTGGTGGGACCGGCTTTCGATTAAAGAGACAAAAGTGGCCCGCATAAAAGAAATACAAGTTGGAAGGTGGCCGCCTTGGGTTATAGAGAGCCGTCTTGAGCGGCGGTCTGCTGAGAGGGCTAGTACCGAAACACGACTGTGGCAATTTGGTTACAAGGCGAGTAGGTCGTGATTTGTTGCAGCAGATGTCGCTTACTCTCATGCAGTACATCGACTTGATCGTCCCTGAATCAAATGAAATACTGCAATTCGCATCGACTGATCTGTGCACACCTGCGTGGGCAGACTGGTGCGGACCGAACTTAAGGGCAACTGACACGCAAGTCGGTGCGCATCAGCTGAATTCGTATCCCGTACCCAGTTTTGTGGTATGTTCGCACATGGGAGTCACTCCATCGTTGCTGGACAGCTTTGTCTGTCAATTTCACCGCCTCTTCTCCAGCGAAGGTACTTGGACTCCACAGCATATAAGCGAGCAGCACCTCAGTTTCTTCCTACGGTAATTGTACCTGCAAAGCCCACTATTCCACGTGGTCGATAGCACTCAAGTTTCTACCTAACGGTCTGTGAACTCGTAGCCCACAATTCTCTCCACACAATATTGTGCGCTTGCTCGTTCGAACCAGTTCGACGAGCTCTACTTAGTGCTTCCCAACTCTTGGATCTAGCCAGTGTGGATTATACTCTTGCTCCAGTTCCCAGTTTTCGGCGTATTCTTTACCGAATTCCACTTGGGTAACTACATCAAACTGGTTTTTCGGAAAACATTTTGATCTCATTCGGAAGAAGAAGCTGGAGGCTCCCAAACTACGCCGCAACAATCCCTGCAGGTTGCAGCATAACAAAGTTACAGTCTTTTTACTCCGCTCATCAACTGAACAGCTCTAAGGACGCTTATCAGCACTCCACCTGCATCAGCGCTTAAGGCAGGCCGATCAACACACGCTGCCGCTTGGTGGGGGTGTGTGTGTTCAAGTGTGATTCGAATGATCGCTGAACCCGACAGTCTGCGCGTTACGACCTCCATCTGCCTCTACCGCCTGACCTTGGTACGGTTGAACAACGCTCAATTCGTGTGCGTGTTCTGAGGTGTTTGGGCGTCACGCCTGGAGCAAAGAACACTCAGCAAGTTGAGCGCTTAGATAGGCCTTGCTGCAAACAATAAGAGGATGACTAGCATTCCAATGGTTTAAAGTCGCTTTCGTTGCGCAGACAATTGCAATAAAGCCCTTAAAATCAGTGTAACCTGTTCTAGCTGCATTTTCTCGTACTGTCCGCAATGTGTAGGCAAATCCGTCAAAGAAGTGAGACAGACAAACCAAGTTGCTGAAACCATTTGGTTTTGCCCAACATGTCAAGTCATTCCAGTTGTCAACTGTTTATCTTTGCGCATGAAAAAGTGCGGTAGAATGACTGGGGTAATCGCGCGTTTTGTAAACACTAAGATCGATCCCATGGATGTAAATATGGCCACGAGAATACCTCACCCAGACAAAGTCAATCCTGAATCTAAGCCGAAGAACAGAGCTAGACACTCCAATCGCACTGCAGCGTCGGTGACTCTAAATCCACTGGGTCACCTCACTCCCATAAGTGGACAAGTCTCAAACATGCCTACTTCCACTTCCCAAACCATAGACGCTTCACCTGGAGATTCAGCCATAACACCGACAGCCGAAAGAAATCCGGTGCAGATAACAAGCAGGTAACGTACGCATCAATTGCCTCGACAAGCACACTGGGAGCGACACACATAGGTCCAGCTTCTGTACCGAGCACGCGTGGCGCAAAGCAGCTTTCCCCGTCAACTCCAGTGGTGCCTTCTAAACAACCCAAATTGCCGGTAAAAAGTATAAAGCCAACACTTGCTAAACAATACTACGCTGCGTTAACTCTCGTGTGCACCAATGTTCCCGAGTCCAAACCTGGCACAATAAAAGGCAAGCGGATCGCAACCAGTGGAGTTCCATCTGCGGGGCCATTGGTATTCGGGTTGAGCCTACAGTGCTGCAACGCGTGGCGCGTCACCCGACCTCAGTGCATTCTGGTGAACCTCGAATGCTTCGAGTAACACTAGACTCAGCAGATAAGACAGAGGCTGTTCTGCTCTCAGCAGTTCGTCTTCGCAACTCACCGAGCGGAGTGCGCATATTACCTGATCTACCTTGGAAAGATCGCCCAAAAGAATCAGTTGACCAACGCGGCATTCCCAATAGGGATAGCAAGGAAACAATATTTCTTCATGGTGTTCCCGAGCTTCTGCATTCCTCTGATCATGATGCGCAAACACATGACCGAGAGCAGTGGTGCTACATCTGCGAATCACTCTCTGTTGACAATGTTATTGTCAAATCCCTGATAAGAGTTCCGTCATCACCTAACTACAAGGGCTGCGGTCCAAGACTAATGAAAGTAATATTACATTCCGAGGGAATGACGCAAGTTCGGCTGGATAGCTGGTTAAAGTTTCGAGCCAGGTTGCCAACAGAGATCCGGCTAAATGCAGCAGCCGAACGGCCAAAGATCATAAGCAATTCGAAGGAACTTGAAACGCAGAAAAATTCTTTATCTGCAGTCCTGCGGAGAGACCGACACAACAATACCCACGACACACAACAGAACAGAGTACAGCATGAGTGAAACGTCCGTTCAGGAACGCTAAATAATGCTATGCAACCTGACTGAAATTCATAAACCAAAAAACGATTAATGGCCGGCCACCTAACGGCCGGCTTAAAAACTAACACAAAGTTGACATCCATCAACGTACTCCTAGCAAAAAAAGCTCTAGCTTGCATGTACACAAACGCCCAAGGCCTTCTAAGTAAGCTGTCCGAACTTAGAGAACTCCATGCCTCACAACCGCGGGACCTCGTCGTGATTACAGAGACCTGGTTAAACTTGAGATAACCGATTCTGAAATCAATGTACCTGGTATGTCGCTGCTTCGGACTGACAGAACCGAAAGGGGTGGCGGTGTGATTCTTTACTATAATACAAACCTCTGATGTGATCGTCCGGAAATCTCATCTCCTGATTCGCTTTGGTGCCGCCTATGGTTGCAAAACAAGGACACATGTCTACTAGCTATGACTTACCGTCCACCAAACTTGACCTCGGAAATGGACTCCAAACTGAACCACTGATCATGCCTAATTTGGTGTGTCTCTATGAATTTGAGAATAAATTATTTATTTATTTATTTATTTAAGTCCTGCACCCACATTCTTATCGCTGGAGACTTTAATGTGCACGACATAGAAACGCCAGCAACCGGCGGTACGCAATTTAAAGCCTGCTTGCAAGAGCTAATTGCTAGCCACCCTCTTTACAACCACGTAACCTCTCTCACCAGATTTCGAACTGCTAACAAGCCATCAACACTGGATCTTGTGCTCAGTAACGAAGAACTCATGGTTGACGGGATAGTTACAGATACACTACTGGGTCGTAGTGATAATATTACTCTACTCCTTGACTATATATGCTATGCGGAGTACCGTGAAAATGAGGATGATAAAATGCATACTGTCACGCACTACAATTTGCTATCTAAGCTTGTTAAGAATACATCTTGGACTTTCTTAACCGGATGCCCCCCAGACGTTGCCTGGGAAACCTTTATAAGGACGCTTAGCCCACTAGGAGCGCACGTATCGTAGCAGACGTCCTTCCAACGCAAAAACAAGCATAAGTCATTTCTTAGGTGCAGAACACGTAAATGTATGTCCCGGAGGGATTTGCCATGGCGAGATCACCAGGACTGCTCGAATGCCGAAACCTGGACTGCATACGGGACACATAGTAACTTCTGTGTGAAACTGATTCGCGAAGACAAGGTCACGCATCAGCAGAAGTTAATGAAGCGATTCTGCACTAACCACAAACTCCTGTACAGGCACGTTAGCAGCCTTCGAAAGGTGAAGCGGGGGATTCCAGCACCAGTCACGGCTGATGGGTGCACGCGATCAGCAATGGAAGCAGCTGATCTCCTACGGTTTCATTACTCCCGAACTTTCCAGCAGGTAACGAGCCCAAACATTCTTCTCGTTTCTATTACCCCACCGTCGGGTTTAGACAACATCACCTTCACTGCGGAAGCTGCGTTGAAGAAGTTGTTATCCTTGCGTATCTACAGTTCTCCTGGAGCTGACAACCTCCGACTAAATGCTCTGCAGGCGGTAGCTAGTGATGTAGCAGAACCACTG